GGTGGGGTCCCTGGTGGCAGGGACTGGGGGGTTGTTGTGGCCGGGCATGTCCCCCACCCCCCATACAATGGGGGAGAGGCTTGAGGGAAGGGATGGGGAGGGGTTCCCTGGGAGGAGGGTCCTTGGTGCACCCCAGAAGGGATGAGGGGGGTTCCCTGGGGGTGAGGGTCCCCAAGTCAGCCTGGGAAAGATGGGGGGGGAGGGGGAAGTCCCCTGGGATCCCCATCCAGGAAGTGTTGGGAGAGCTTTTCTGGGTATGGGGGGGGTCCCCAAGGAGGGATAGAGGGGTTCCCTGGGGATGGGAATCCCAGGACAGCCTGGAGGAGATGGGGGGGTGGGATCCCCAGGTATGGGGGTCCCTGCAGCCACAAGGCCAGAGCAGGAGGACCTGGGTTAGATCCTCGGCTACCGCAGGGTGGGCTGGGGGAGGGGGGGGGCTGGATCCTCATCCCCAGGGAATGGGGCTGGAGGTGCCTCCCGAAAGAAGGGGGCAGCAGCTCTTGGTACCCACAGATGGCCCTGGACCCCCACAGGTGGCCTCAGTGCTTTCACCCCTCTCCCCAAATCACAGAACTTGTCTCTGCTGGCGCCCGACGCCCTGGGAACCCAAACAGCTCTTCCCTTTCAGACAAGACCTGCTCTGCCTTTCCCAGCAGCAGCCCAGGGTTGGAATAACGACCCTAAACCCCCCCAACCCCCCCAAAAAAAACAGGTGACCCCAAGTCCTGCCGTGGTCAGACCCCATAGGGGTGGTTTATTGGAAGTGGGGAATAAACAGGAATCGCCACGTCCTCCGGCCCTCAACTCAGCCCCCCCCTTTGCCTTCTTCCTGGGAAATGGTGCTTCTTCCCAGCTGGAAAAAACACCTGGTGGGTTTTTTCCCTTCCTCCCTAAACTCCTCTCTGGAAACCTCGTCCCTCCTCACACGTTGGTCCATCAACAGTGTCATTTCTCCATCAACAGTGTCATTTCTCCACCGTGTCATTTCTCCACCAACAGCATCGTTCCTTCTTCTATCTTCCAGGTCCCTCTCGGGGGGGTCCCTGTGGGGCTGGGGGTGTTTGGCGTCACTGCCCCCCCCCGCAACTGCTTCAGCAATTAATATAATTTACTCCAGTGTCTCGTCAACGCTGACGAGAGGGGACAGGGTGTTGGGGAGGGAGGGTCAGGACCGGGCCAGCGCCGCCGCGCGCTGCAGCTGCTCGTAGGAGATGAACATCACCACGTTCCAGGAGCCAAGGCGCAGGAAGGAGGGGACAAACCTGTGCCAGGAAGGAGGGGACATCATGGGAAACCACCCCCTTGTGGACCCCACAGCCCTGCCTGGTGCCCTGGGTGGTGGCACATGGGTTGGGACGTTTGGGGCGGGCTGGGTGGTGTTAAGGGTGTTGTCAGTGGGGAGCTGGTCCACGCTGGTGTTTGTGCAGCTGGGTGCACTGAGTTTGGTGGTGCTCGGTGGGGACGTGTCCCCAAACTCACCCTTTGTAGAAGCCAGAGACCCCATCCTGCATGATCAGGGCCAGGATGCAGCTGAGCACGTTCCGGTACTGCCCGGGACCCGCGTTCATGTACCGCGTCTTCACCACGTCCACGGGAGATGCCACCACCGTGGCACAGAAACCAGCCCCAAAAGCTGCCACAAAGTGACAGGGGACATTGTCTGCGGGGCAGAGAATCACAGAACCATAGAAGTTTGGAAGAGACCTCAAAGAGCATCCAGTCCAACCGTCAACCCCACATCCCCATCCCCACTAAATCATCTCCTAAAGTGCCACGTCTGCACGGTTTTTGAGCACCTCCAGGGGTAGTGACTCCACCAGTGCCCTGGGCCTGGGTGGAGGATCAGAGGGACAGGGACACCCCCCAGCTGTGTCCCCCCTGCCCTGTGCCCACCTGTCATCAGCTGTGCCCGCAGCAGCGCGTCCTTAATGAGGTCGTAGGTGACGAGCTCCCCGCAGTTGATGATGGCGTTGCGGGCAATGTTGGGCAGTGTCCCTGTGCAGAAGGGTGGTGTCATTGGGGATGGTGGTCACATTCCCCCCTCCCCGGATCATGCCTGTCCCTATCTCATTCCCATCCCATCCCTGTCCCCATCCCCTTCCCAACCCAACCTCCAGCCCTGTTCCCACTGCTACGCTCATCCCTGTCTGCATCTGCATCCACACCCCATTCTCATCCCTGTCCCCTTCCTGATACCCATCCCTGTGCCCTTCCTTGGCCCTGTTCCCACCCCTATCCCATCTGCATCCCCCATCCCTCTTGCCATCTCCATCCAAGCCCTGTCCCCATTCCCATCCCATCACCATCCCTTTCTTACTTCCCACCCCCATCCCTGTCCCCACCTCACTCCCTGTCCCCTCCCTATCTGCTACTCCATCCTTGTCCCTGTTCCCTCCCTATCTCCACTCTATCCCACCTGCATCCCCTGTCCCCATCCCCATCCTGTCCTTGTCCCCCCTCCTTCCCACCACCATCCATGTCCTCATTCCCATCTTCATCCTTGTCCCCATCCCCTTTCACTTCATCCCTGTCCCCATCCCCTTCCTGTCCCCATCCCCTTCTTCACTCCCACCCTTATCCACGTCCCCATCCCTCTTCCCACCCATCCCTACCTCTCCAGAGCCCCCGGACTCCCTCCTCCCTGGCAATGGTTCTGTAGGCAGCCACGGTTCCACGGTACTGGCGCCCGCTCTCGGGCATCGCCCCGTGGGCCTGGAACCGAACCTTGACCACGTCGGTGGGTTGGGCACAGGCCACGGCCACTGCCCCCGTGGTGCTGCCCGCCAGCAGCCGCACCCACAGCCCCGTGGCTGCAGAGGAAGGGCAATGG